AATGTTGTCATTTTTACGTTACACCATACGAAATGCCCAGGAGAGAGATTAGAAAATCAGGGACAGGGCGACCAGATCAGATCGCTGAATGGTGATCCCACGCGCACCTGTTAAGCTAAGATTATAAATTTGTACTAGTTGTTATGTATTCAACTCCCATGGAACTGATTTCCCTAATATGCTTACTTCATTGGTATTTGCTAGGCAGTGATGACAACTTCCAGTCACTGGCTGTACCATTCCTAATTTAAACGAAAATTATAAATGTTCTACCGGAGTGGTTCAGAAACCGAATCGTAATAGTTGTAAGGTAAGCAAACACGAGTACACTCATTAAAAAATTTGGTCAGGCGGAACGGAATTTCGATAGATGTAGATGTTCGCAGGACGAACTGATGCTTTTTCCAGTAAAACCTATGGGTCGCATGCTGGGGAGTTATTGACAGTCAACATACTGTAACTAAAATGCGNTTGAAAAATATCAACGCTTGCCAAGTGCACAACTGAACAAGAAGGCTAATTCCTGATTTATTTTTAAATTGATGAATCCGTTTCATCAGACCGGATTTCTATAGTAAGCCTTTAAAGCGCTGGAATATTAATCGTTGAGTGAGTTACTGACTTTGAAGATAACAGGAGTTTAACCAGCGGACCATGCATCGTTTGTTTCACTGGCTTTTATGCTGAGCCACGTTGTTCAGTGCCTAACTCATGAGAATCCTTACATCCTGAGCCTCAACTGTGAGGACGACAAGCACCAGCTGAGACCGATGCCGATGATTTTCTGTGCAAACCGTGAGAACTTTGTCTGATAAACCCTGAATCACAGAAAGGAAGCAGTCAACCGAGAGTTGAATTTTTTTCAAGTCCACGTGGTGGCTAGCTGGTTCAACTGAAAGCTGACTGGAACAACGGAAAATGACCTCACTTCTAAGTTCGGGGTGGAGTTGGAGGATCAGTTTGCTCGCCTGAACACAGCAATGGTATGAGGCGCATTTCATTATAAAGAATAATTTAATCGTATTCAGCGTTGGTTACAAGTCTTCACTTTCTTCTGGTACATTTATCCGGCTATTCGTTTGGTGTGTTTTGCGGTCGCCTGAGCGTATCCACTCGTCAG